GAAGCCTGGAGAGGGTGAGGTTTCAGGAGGCGTGGGACCTCGGACAGGTACAAAGCCATAGACTCCACCCTCCAAACCAACTATTCTCTTCTGGGGAACCATCGTTGCCAATCTCCAGGTGAGGACTGACAATCACTCAAAATTACAACTGTTCTTTAGGTAGCAGAGATCGGTTCCTCTGGAGAAAATGGTGGACTCAGTGTCATTATACCCTGTTGAGGTCGCCACAGCAAACTGACACAGAGTGTCCAAGGCCGGGGCACTCGCCCAGAGCCTCTTTCTAGAGGCCGTTGTATTTATTTCCACAACGGGCCTTTTTCCTGGTTCTGAGATAAAACTCATTAGTGACTTAGGTTTAAACAGCGCAAACCTTTATAGACAGCTTATTTGTAAAAGAAAAGAAACAGTAATTCACCTCACCACTAAGGAATGAGGTCACACAACTTTGCTTTTTCTAAAATGTTGATTATTATCCACGCCCCATGTCCCTATTCATGTTTCTTTGGAGTAGACGTGGGATGTTTGAGGTACTAACTTCTTTGTGTATAACCAACCAACAACTTAACTCTATGGAGCACCAAGTGGAGATAAGCTTTAGGTCTTATCACTTTTGACTGTGGGACAGAAGATGAAACAGAAATCCAACTACACACTTCAACTTTTATTAATTAAAACACTTTAATGTCACCTTTCTACCCCATCAAGGTCCACAAGGTGGTGAACATTAAAATATTAAAACATTTGAGCAATTAAAAATACATATAATTCAGTTAAACTGGTAGAGTCTTCCTTTCTGCAATATTTGGCCCACTAATACAAGCAGGGTGTGGTGTAACATGGGCAACTCCCTCTCTGATGACCACTGGAATATTAACAAAAAGGTCACACGTTTACACAGGTAGAAGCTGTGTACAGACTAGCAAGTTTTAACTGTGATCATCCTATTGTCTCAAAGAAATGACAGACATCAGAAACAAGGTTTCTACTCTGATTCATGACTGAATCTTGCACCTCCTAGGCCACACTGCAGTCATGTTGATGTTTTCCATCTGGAGGGTGGGCTAACAAGTTAATGGCTGAATTCAGATCACCTGACTGGCCCATCTAGTACATCCTATTTCCCCTTCAGCATAAGTATGAACAGTCTCCTTCGTCTGAAAGTTATAGTCAGAGACGCATACAATTACATGTTTTCACACTTAGAAAATATTTTTTACTGGACTTGGAGGACCACAGTTTCAGTAAAGGTATATGGCTCCACATGGAACTGTCTGAAAATCAGTACGCCCTTTGTGTACCTACAAATCTCTTTTCATAGCGCTTCCAGACTTCCGAGAAGTCCTGGTAGAAGCTACTCTTTGATGGGAGCTTAAAGAGAATTGTTTGTGCGTAGGAAGAATACAGCCATTATTTATTACAAAATGCCTGACATGTCTATCTTACATAACCAATCTTATTTTTGTCAAGTACAAACAACAGATGGTATCAACAGGGACTTTAATCACTACCATCTATAGCTAATGGTTACTATTTCCCCTCCCAAACAGCTCTGCATTGTGAGCACTTACAGGTTAAGTGGTTCACACGAGCAGTCACTTGAATGCTTTCTTCTGCATGAGGTTTTATTGTGCCCCGTATACAGCATCTGTTAGCACATGCTTATTAATGTTTGTTTAACTTACTAACCTCATTTTTGAAGTACACTCATTCAGTTTTTAACAGCAGTGTCAAAACCTGTTGTGCTTTTCTTTAAATGACTGCTATTAATTACTTAGCTCTGGCATATTGTGTGTGTAGCTCACCAGAAGACCACTGAAACAAGAGACCATGGAATCAACGTTTTCTCACATCAGTATTACTGTTTATTCTTATTGCTTAACGCCCCATAAAATCAGCCCTAATATGACACTTAACAAACTCTCTATTCAAGAATCAAAACTCAAAAAGGTCTTGTGGCCATGACAGGAAGTCTGAAGTCTGCAATGTTTGATTGCTTTAACAACTTAACTGGCTCTGGAATCTTGCATAAGAACATTTTGTCATCTAATATTCACACTGTTCACTGCAGCCAGAGGGACAGAGGCTGCAGTCCTGAAGCTGTGGTGTACACAATTCCATATGTGTATGTATATTTATCAAAGCACTAGTTGCACATTCAACCAAAATTTGTTCAGTGGCAAATTATCAATATGGATGACTATCACGCAAACAGCATTTACTGTCCATTTCATCGATAGTAATAATCAGTAGAGATGGGCACAAAGTGGGAAAATACAGTTTGGTTCAGTTCATGGCTGAACCATGAACCAAATCATGAACTGAATCGAACCAAGACTGTTTGCGAACTGAACCAGTTCGTGGCCCTGCAAACACCATTGAAAGGGACTACAGTCCATTTTACCGGGGTTTGCAGAAAGGCTGAAAAACAGCTGAGCTGCTGTCTTGTGCAGGCAGAAGACAGTCTGAAACAGTTGAGCAGTAGGGAGTGCCTCCCTGCCATTCAGCTGTTTTTGTGGCTTTCGCAGGGGACAGAAAGCAGAGGTTTAAAGGGACTTTGAGTCCTTTTAAACCCCTGCTGTCTGCTCCACCCACAAACCATGAACCACCACAAACTGCTTTAAAAGTTCATAGAAGTTTGTGATTATAGACTTGACATAAAGCGAACCAGAAACAGGGCAAGATTTAATTCGGGTCCAGTAAACCCGAATCCGAATTTTATTTTTTTTTGCACACCCCTACCTGTGAGAGTTGTGGGGATTTATTCCACAAACCAGCATGCTTAACAAGTAAAGATCCTGTTCAGTGTCCTCGGATGTATACAGAAAGAGCCAAACATAAAATATATAAATTGCATTGATTAAATTAATCCACCCTGAAGGTTTTTAAATTGAACAAGGGATTATTTTTCTAGCAGTGGTTCCTAAAAGGAAATGTAACTGCATCAATAGGGGAAAGTCCAAAGATACATTAAACAAAAGCACTGTTGTGCATTGCTGAAGAGTGCCTTAGCAGCTCCTCATAGTATGTGTTTTTTTTGTCTCTCTTTTTTTTTTAACTCCAAGCAAACATAACAATATTATGGCTAAATTTCCTGACCAGTGGAGGAAACATGCAACATGTGCAGCAAGGAGTGGGGAATGAACACACACACAAACACACACAATATTTCTATGCCACCTCTTTAGAGTCCTGCTACCAGGATCAGTGAACCAGTTCATTGACGGAATTTACCCAGAAATTAATATATTTTAATAACCCAGGATCAATGGGGAGCATGAGTGTACATCCAGTGCAGCATTTCTGTGGGAAGAAGAAGAGATTGGATTTATACCTCACCCTTCACTACCTGAAGGCATCTCAGAGAACCTTATAATCCCTTTCCCTTCCCCTCCCACAACAGACACCCTGTGAGGTAAGTGGGGCTGAGAGAGCTCTCTTGAGAACTGCCCTTGAGAGAACAGCTCTGAAAGAACTTATGACTGACCCAAGGGCACACCAGCAGCTGCATGTGGAGGAGTGGGGAATCAAACCCAGTTTTCCAAGATCAGAGTCAATGCTCTTAACCACTACATCAAACTGGCTCTCTTCCAGGAGAAGGATTTCTGCTCACAGAGTAAGACTCTCTCCTCTCCCTGTTGCAGCCTGAAATGACCCCTGAAAAGGTGCTCCTGTGGGACAGGGATCCAAGACATAATCTCTGGAAGCATACAGGGTTATGAACAGCACTGATTTCATTTCAGACAGGTTTTCTGCAATTTGTATCATAAACTCTTTCTTGATTATACTAAGACAACTATTAAAAGCCAAGAAACTGCTTGATTAGAAGTGCTATCACAAATATGCTATCACATATCATTCCATGAGACATACACAGATTATTAGATGTGAATACACATTTCTGTATTTTAACAGTGGATCCCATCTCCTGCCAACCTAGCAGTTCGAAAGCAAGAAATTGCAAGTAGATAAATAGGTATCTCTTCGGTGGGTGCTCAGTGCACCTCAGTGTCTAGTCATTATTTATTTATTATTATTTATTTTTGGGACTTATACCCCGCCCTATCCAAGCGCCCTATCCATGCCGGCCACATGACCATGGAAACGTCTTTGGACCGCGCTGGCTCTTCGGCTTGGAAACTGAGATGAGCACCGCACCCTAGAGTCGGATTCAACTGGCTTTCGAGCAAGGGAAACTTTTACCTTAAACAATGAGGGGAATTAGAAACTATCACATGCACAGTTTTTTAAGCTAACAAAGCTTATGAAGGTTCAAGAAGATGTCTAGCAACTTTTTTTCAGAGGCTAAGAGAAGGATAATATATATCTGCATACTTCTGGAAGGAGACTGGAGAAGGTTCTGCTTTGGGGTAAGGTCACAACATCCTTTTTGTACATATTTCCTCGAGGACATCTGGGATAGTATCAGGTATGTCTGCAACCTCCCATTCTCAGGCACGATGCCTTAAGGTAACAGGATGTAAACAGGATTCATCCTGGGGGAAATCACGGCTTTCATACATCAGAGATGTACAACTGTACCTTTCAATTTACATCTTAATACTCATGCTAAGGAAAATCAGCTTGTGTATTAGCATGTGAATTGAGAGAACACCACAGCAGCAACTTTCATGATCTGGATAGCTTCAAAAATGAATTTCCTTGATCAGGAAGTTTCTGCTGTCAGTCCCTAGCTCACACATACACTATTAATGTAAGCATACCACACGTGAAAGCTTGCAAATAAAGGAAAATGTTAGACAATATTTTAAAAATATTTTCATATTCTTGTGTTTATAATGGAAGATAGCTTGTATATTTCAAGGCCCAATTCTGTACTTATGATCAACTCAGAAGACTTATGTACTTATGTACTTATGATCAACTCAGGAACACACACACACACAAAATACAAACATCAGAAATACTTCCTTCAAAACCACTTTTCTTTTTTAACAAATACTTTAATTCTTTAATATTTTTTACAATCCAAAGGTGCACAAACTGGCATTCAAGCATCCATGTAGGCGTACATCCAACCAAACAGCAAAAGTGATGTACTTGGGATAATAGTACATTTTCAAATCCCATAAAATAAATAAGTTAGTTCACATTGTCTTCAGTGCTCACCCGCACCTTAATTTTTACTGTGCTCTTATAGCCTGCTTTAAAAGTTCCAAATCTTTCCGTCGGCCAGCATTCCCTCCGGTGCAACCATATTCTTCCATTTGTAAAGGGATATACTTCTCTATCTGACCTAGGCCCTGTCCTGCAGGACTAGTAAAGAGCTTTATCCAAGATGGTTTAAAGCTTCCTTTGAAGCCCAGAAAGCTGGTGCTCCCTAGAACAGGAATAGAAATACTTCAGAACAGAAAAACATTTTTAGTGATGAACAATATTCATATTACAAAGTTCAGTTCTCAAAATTCTACTGTCCACCAAATTTGCCTTGAAAATGATCAAAACTCATTAAACATAGGATAACAACAACAAAAAAGGAATTTGCACCAAAAATTGCTAAAAAATTATTTGGGGGATTTTAATTTTAAAATGGAACAAACCTGTGTCCTGAAGATATGCTGGTTTTGCAGCTCCTAGAGTCATTAAGGCTTGGGAAATGTTAAGATTTTTTATGTCCCCTCTGGAGCTTAATATAACTATTGACCTGACAGAAAGAATGAAGACGATAGGTTGGTGACTGAGGACACACAGAGTAATAAGATACATTTTACAAAGAAGCAGGGCTCTAGTCGGGGGGGAGCTCTCAGGTACGGAGCTCCGGAAGAGAACCTCTAGGGGGCGGGGCGGTCACGTGGTGAAGCCCCGCCCCCTTCTTTACCCCGCCCTCTGCTTCGATCCTCATTCCGTTTGGGAATGAGGATGAAGCAGGAGGGTAAGTAGCCGGGCCTTCTGACACACTTCCGGTGATGTCAGGGGGCGTGGCATATGCAAATAAGTTATGCTAATGAGTTATGCTAATGAGCTCCGGCAGCTCTTTTTCTACAACAAGACCCCTGCAAAGAAGCATGTTCTTTATTGAATTCTAAAAGGTTGCATGCAGTGGAGTCAGGACATGGTGAGAATATTCTTTGTTATATATGATCTTTTTCTTGCAAAGGCTCTCTCACAACTGTTAAATTGGCAACGTCAGAGTTCATACAGCCATACTGCAGCATCAGTCCTTCTACAGCTTAACTGTCTAGTTCTTTATGAAAGCAAAGAATTCTAAAAGGTTGCATGCAGTGGAGTCAGGACACTGTGAGAATATTCTTTGTTATATATGATCTTTTTCTAGCAAAGGCTCTCTCACAACTGTTAAATTGGCAACGTCGGAGTTCATACAGCCATACTGCAGCATCAGTCCTACAGCTTAACTGTCTAGTTCTTTATGAAAGCAAAGGTACCACTCAGAAAAGTAATTGCAAAAATGTATTTTATGGAACAAGATCTAGGTGACAGGCATTCATATTACTACTTTCCATAAAACTTTCAAAATGTGTTTATTCACAAAAACCAAAGGAAAAAAAAGATTATGAAGTAGATACCACAGCTGTGTTTTGTTGTAGTGGTGGAGGAAAATGCCGGAGCATGCGCATTTGTCATGTACACAAAAATAAAAAACAGTTTGCCGCGGCGTGCGCTTCTTCGTTGCGCGCCGGCTTGTCCTGTGATCGGCACCTCTCCCTTGCCATGGAACCTCCACGGTACCTCCACAGGACCTCCACAGGAGGTCTGATCACGTAACTGCGCAGTAGTTTGCCCTAGGGCAAACAGCCACGCTTCTCCTCTGCAGTTTCCTGCCCGTGTGACCGGGGCCTCAGTAATATACAAGCCAAACATTATAAACTGAAATGAACTTCTATTGAGAGAAAAACCTCTTGCTACTTAAATCCTTTGTGACACAGTACAAACTTTGGTCCCTAGTAGCCTTTTTTCCCGAAGGCAGCAGAGAAGACAAAATACAGAAACAGCTACTGTTTGTTATGGATTTCCTGTAACTAAGCAAGCCAAACAGCTTGCCAAATTCACCTTAGCCAAGTATTCAGTTTAAAGAAATAAAAACAAAATCTTTATGACTGTAAGTCCTTGATATTGTTATATAACAAACCTGACCTGTCTACAGAGACATCCTAAGCAGAGTTAAACACCAATGGACTTACAAGGGTGTAACCTTTGTTTAGGATTACACTGTTGCTAAATTCGTGTGTTCTGACCGCCTGAGATAGGTACTTTATCCTATCTTAACATCTATAACCTTTTAACTACTAAAAAGGAGATTAATAACAGTTTACAAAAGTTATATGGTTGAACACCGGAAACTGGTAGAGCTGCACCTCAGTCATCCAAGATGGTCTCTAAACTGCAGTTTATTAATACAGATTATTTAACAGGTGGTAGCGGAACTGCTAAAATTATAGTGCACGTTAGGGTAGATTTAATCCTAGTAAATCATTTTGTAATTCTCTTTACCAATAATTCCTAGTGTATTGTAGAAAGCAGACTCCAAATACAAACATGGAGACTAGATTAGGAGGTATCTGCTACTAATACCACCTTCTTATGGAACCACAAATACACAAACAGCATTCAATTTATATAGTGTTTCACTTAGTTATTCATGCTCTGGGTTTATAAAAACGATAACAGTGAATACAAGCAGGGTGGTGTGTATGCCACATTTTCAGAACCACTCTGTGCAAAACTCTAATACTAAGTGTGAGAGTCTCAATTTGTTTACATTCCTAAGAATCAATTTTCTAACTCTTATGTCTGAAAACCTGATCTTCAAAATACATAGGTTGGTGAATTCTCAGAAATCACCAACCGAATTCAGAAGATAGGGCTTCAGTACTCTAGTAATTTCACACACACCCCTTACGTGGCTAGATAAAGCAAAATTAGGTAAAATGAGCAAATATATGCATGTCTGATTTTAATTATTTATTTATGTTGTATAATCCAAATGTTATTGGCACAGAATTTAGATCTCTGCGATCCAAGGCCATGAATGAAACTGATCAACTTTTATACCAGAATATAAAGCTTTCTTTTGTAATTTCGAATACAAAGGGAAATGCAATGAACAATTCACAGCAAAAATGCATATCCCTTAATTAGTTTTTAACACTATTATGACAAAGCACCTCTGCACACTTTAACTAAACAGAAAAGTCTACATGCAATGCTCACTGAAAATGCTATTATGAAGGTGAAGGGTTTTCACTGCATCATGTACCTTTGGGGAATTCCAGTTTTTATATGTTCTTCTAGTTTCTTGATGTCTAGTTCAGGGAAAAATGTTTTTTTTGTTACTTGTCCAGCACAGGCATCAATAACTACGGTGAGTATACCGACATCTTTGAATGGAAACTTGATGCCATTGACCTGAAATGAGAGTCTTCATAAATCATACTTCCCTTTCCCTCTACAACAGTCATTTGTGAATACAATGATCTGTTATAACTAGCAGTTCCATCCCACTTATCATCATTTGGCTTACAGATGGCTACAGTGTGCTTCTGGCAATCAACAATTTTCTGTCTCGCTCTTCAAAAATTCTGCTGATGGGAATTCCATGGCCTCCGAAGAACCTTGGCCTAGCCTTTTTTCTGTTCACATTATATTACAGAAACCACCATCAACTGTACCATGCCAAATCAACAATCACCTTCTGAGCCATGTCATAGTAAGCTAATCATTCTTTTTCTTAGTCTTACTAAAAGGAGACCTCCACTGTCTCCAGTGAACTGTCTGCTCTCTTTAACTAGGGTTAATTAAGGAGACTGGTTATCAAAAAATAAAACAATTTGAATTAATTGGGTGAATTTCTATCATACCATGCATACTATTTACAATGTATGTTTTTATACTCAGAGGGCTCAAGACTCTAATAGACCATCACAACCCATGCATTAAACAACTATAGGACATAAATACTAATTAAAATTCAGATTCCCATGGATAGTTGCATACCTTCACTTCCCAGCCTCACAACTGGTGCCCTAATGGAAAACTGGCAGAGCAGACCAAGAACTAATGTTATATAACTATAGTTAAACCTCTACAGCAGAACATCAACATGATAATACTGCTTTATTTCTACAGCATCAAAGGGTGGTGTCTCACATCATATGGACTAGTATCAACATGAAGTTAAAAGAAGGCCAACAGAAAGATTACAAAAATACTCACTGAAATAGAAGATTCTTTTTTCCTTTGCAACTCTTCTTTATTCAAGGTCTGAATTTCCACAAAGAGGTAGGTTTTATGAGGATGACTGGTAAATACCATCTGAACAACATAAATACAAGTAAAAGTAGTAAGAAATCTGAGGAATTAGTTGGAAACAAGAAGATAATTTAAACTATTATCCTGAAGAAGTTTTATTCTCAAGTTCAAAAAAGACATGTATTACCAACATAATAAAACAAAAAAAGAGCAAAATTACTGTCTGGTCAAAGCACACACACAATTTTTTTTTTTCCTGTGAACAGATAGAAGTGTTTGTTTGAGGTTCAGTAAACTGCCTCTTTTCCTTAAAAAAGTTTATGCACCTCTTATGTTCTGGGACAGTATTGAGTTACAGATGAGGCAAACTCTACTGGCTGAGTCCCAGGATCTAACTCTGGCCAGTTCTACTAAATATCAACTACAATCTCAAAAATAATTCCAATAATATCAGAGAGATGGAAAGTAAACAATTACATGCTTAAACTTATGAACATCATTTTCTAGTATTATGCTCATTATTTGCTAAGCATGTGGATATCTGTATCTCATTACAGAATGCACTGATCCATCTGTAAGTTCTTCAAATGCCACACACTGGCATGCCTTATTAAATAACTATTTTAAGGTTAACTATAAATGTTTTTACGCAATAGTCTGGATATAAAACTGTGAGATTTATGCCAAATAACTGTATGGAATTTTTTTTACATTATACAAAAAAGGGGACAATTTTTCATGTTTGCTAGGAACGTGATACTTATGCATTTTATTGCTCATTTTAGGTAGCTAGAATTTCGACCACATGGAAGCAATTAATACAATCATACTAAACCTCAGCATTCATTTCTAAGAATTGAAACCAGTAAGCAGGGAGGGACTGTGACTCAGTGGTAGAGCAACAGCTTGGCATGCAGAAAGTCCTAGGTTCAATCCTCAGCATCTCCAATTTAAAGGATCAGCAAGTAGGTGAGGTGAAAGACCTCTGCCTGAGACCCTGGAGGGCTGCTGCCAATCTGAGTAGAAAATTTTGACTTTGATGGACAGAAGAACCAAAAAAAGCAGTTTGGGGCAGCTCCTGAACCAAACCGACCCAAAAGCTCCCCCCTGAACCGAGCTGTTCCAGTGAGTTTGGTTCCCCCTTCTTCCCAGCCATGGCAAGCTGTCGTTGGGATAAAGGGGGCAGGGACTGCCCTGGAAGGGACTTCCCTTCCACATTTTTCCTGGCCATAGCTCACTGGGGCCAGGAGAAAGGGGGAGGGGGAGGCCCAGGAAGGGTTAAATGGCTGCTAGCCATTTAACTCATCATTTTCGCTTCCTCCCACTTCAAAGGTGGAGGAGCAAAACCAAAGAGTTTAATGGCTCACAGCCATTTAAACTTAACAGCTGGGCAAGTCCACCAGTCAGCTGTTAGGTTTAAATGGCTGTGAGCCATTTAAACTGTCAGTTTTGTTTCCCCCCCTTTGAAGGGGGCGTGTGAAACTGAAAGGTTTAATGGCTCACAGCTGTTTAAATCTAACAGCTGAGTGGGTCTGCAAGTCAGCTGTTAGGTTTAAATGGCTGGCAGCCATTTTAACCATTGGTTTCGCTTCCCCCTGCTTCGAAGGGGGGGATCGAAGCCAAAGGGTTTAATGGCTCGCAGCCTTTGAAACCTAACAGCTGGATGGTGGACCCTGTGCCACTCAGCTGTCAGGATTAAATGGCTCACCTCAAACAATGGCCACAAGTTTGGTAAATGTTTGGGGAAGGTGCCTTCCCTGCACATTGGTTCGCGAAAGTTTGGGCTGAATTTCAGTTTGTGCCCATCCCTAGTCTAGTCTAGTGGTTTCCTTGGGTTTCTTCTCTCACTTCTTTCCCCTCTGGACTTTTTGATATGTTCTTTATCCCAGCCTTCTTCCAAGGACCTCAGGCAGTGCACAAGTTCTCCTGTGTAATTTTTCATTCACCTTGTGAGAGAAGGCTGACACAACAAGACGGCCCAAAGTCACCTTAATTGCTTAACAGGGATTTGATCCCAGGTCTTCCTAGTCCTAATCCAATGCTCTCAACACTGTACCACACTGGGTCTCCATGTACTCTTCCCTCTGCCCACTAGACAATTAGGCCACCTCATTTTTCTTCCTTTAAATCCTGCCCTATTCAACTGCTTCTGCAAGTATTCCATCACCATGTTGGAAAATCTTGGACATAACTACAGGAGGCTAAACCTTAATCATTCATAACACTCTCAGTTCTGTGTTCTTTTTTCACCTGAGCTGCACCACATTTTTGACAGGAAGCTGTAGCTTTTGTGGGCATTCTCTTCACAACAGTTGGCTGCTGGGCATACTTTGGATAAGTGTTTGTCAAGCAGTTACTGACAGCTGTTGATCGGAAGTTAGCCTGAATCTTGACTCTTTCACATCCCTGAGATGAACAGTAACTATGGCCATCCCTGTGATATTTGGCACGAAGAAACAGAAACAGCAGCCTGCAGATGAACACATATGTGGGGGAGTAAAAAAACCAGTATGAATTATTGCAAAGCCAGCTATGGGAGTACTGTAATTTATTTCACACAATTCTTCACTAAACCTTATTTTCTACAATGCTGTTTAAAATCTGCTTCACTTTCTAAATATTCCATATTTAACACATATAAATAAACACTCTGTTATTAAAGTGATGTGCTAACAACAAGAGCACTACCATTACTGGCTGAATGACTAAGTTGGAAACACAGACCTCAGTAGCCACCCCCTCATCCCAAAATACAAAGTATGCATGTCAGTTTGCCCAATAATCCCTGGATGGTTCTCTATTAGGACTGTACCAACCACAATGACTTTACCCCCTACCCTCAAGGTGCCAGTAAGGTTTGTAGAAGTCATCAGAGAGTAGCAGGAACCAGTGTGGCTTGCAAGTGTGACATGCCGATGCACTGAATATAAAAAAGAACCCTCTGATCTGGAAGCACCTTTTGGAGTCAACCTCAAACTTTAAATGTAAGGGAAAAAACAGTAAGCCACCTTTTCCTCTCTTTCAACAAATAGTTAGATGACCTCCAGCCATACATATTCACTTTGTAGATGCCCATCCACACTGTCATTTATCTTACCCATAAAAATACAGGCAATTTTTTAGCAAGCAAAACTCTTAATCCCTATTTCAGTCCTCTTCAGAACTCTGAAAAAGGCTTGCACAGAATACCATACTTTAAGATGGGTAATAAATTACATGAACAGAACTCAGAACAGCCTACATTAAAGTAAGCTTTGGGAAAATGACAACATGATGAGTCACTCCATTTATAAAGAGAAGTCATACAGATTCTGTATTACACTCAAGGTACAATTCCTGTCTTCAAGAGCTGGGCCAACAAGTTATGCTACAAAGGTTGGATTTTTAAAAATGCTGGATTTAAAAAAATGCTGACTCTCTATAGGCAGCACACAAAATAAAATAAATTGTATAAAAAGTGAAGATGAAGTTTAAATGTTAAATATTATTCTTTGGATATGCTGAGGATCTACCCAGTGCTGTTATCGAAGTAGAAAGTTTTCTCTGTTTGCCTCTTCTGCAATTCTGCCATTGAAGAAACAGGTACGTAGTCTTCCACACTATAGTAAGCGGATGCCTGCCTTTGGAATACATCAAAGGTAACTTGAAAAGAGGTATCTGGTGGGTAACAGATGCCTACCCGAATCCAGTCATTCCTAGAAGCAGAACAAGACAATATTTCTATTACTGTCTACTACTATTTCTTGTGCTTATGCAACATTATCATGTAACAGTGTAAATATGCCAAACATGACAAAATTGACTGCAGCCACCCTCAGATCCCTGCAACAAGATGGCTGCTTTTTTGTATCCCCTGTTCTAGATGAAGCTGCTGTTCCCTTAAAGGAGCAGGGTCATAGCTTGGGTGCTCCTAGACCTGGGCCTCCTGTTGGATAAATAGATGGCAGTGGTGGCTTCAAATGGGGAGTCTGCTGCAGCCCTTCCTGGACAGAAATGATCTTGCCACTGTGGTGCATACCATGGTAACATCTAGATTGTATTACTGCAATGCGGTCTATAAGGGGCTGCTCTTGAAGACTGTCTGGAAGCTATAGTTGGTGCAGAACACCGTGGCCGGAGTGTTGATTTAAGTGGATCATAAGGACCATATCACCCCAGTCTTGTTTCAGCTACACTGACTTCCAATTTGTTTCAAGTTTAATTCAAGGTGCTCGTATTGACTTGGAACCAACATACCTTAAGGACCACCTTCTCCCATATGAACCTACCCACTCAGTCTGGTCATCCTTGGAGGCTCTGCTCCAGTTGCCCCTGCCATCTGAGGCCAGACAGGTGGCGACCTGAGAAAGGGCCTTCTTGGTTATGGTACCAAAACTTTGGAATTCCTTCCCCAGGAAGATTTGCCTGTCTCCCTCTATCAGTGTCTTTTGCCAGCAGGTGAAGGCTTCTTTGTTTCATCTGGCATTCCCCAAAAAACAAGTTCGGTCCTCCTACTGTTTGTTTATGTGTTTTTAACTAAATTTTGTATTTTAACTGTATTTAATTGTTTAAATGCTTTAATGTTTTTATGGTCGCCATCTTGTGGACCCTGATTGGTAGGAAAGGAGGTATATTTTTTTAAAAAAAATAAATAAATAATAAAATAAACTGGAAATAACAGAACTGGCTATGACTGAACAGAAGAGATCTCACAACAAGTTCCCCTAAACCAAGGCCTTGTAATACTCTGTGAGACCACGCTCCTTTTTGAACATTTGAATGTTTTGGTCCCAACAAGATAGTTGGCATACAAGACAAAATACATTTTTATTCTGCGTGGAACTAAGAAGATAAAGGCTGTATTTTTTTGCCTGCAGAAACCCTACTGAAATGACATGGAGTGGCTAAAGTACACTCGATGGCTTGGTCTGGAGAACTTCAGATGGATTGTGGCACTAAACAACTTGACTTTCTGTTTGAATCCACCTTTATATCCCACTTTTCCTATTTAGACAAGTAAACAGATTAAAGAAAACCAATGCACTAAACCTCATTGACAACACGTGTAAATTAAACCAATTAAGTTTGCATTGATAGTTGTTTCAGGAACAAAAATTATTTTTCATTAAAATGTAGGTTCTTTCTTTTGCGCTTTGTTCTCAGAGCAGCTCTGTTTGAAGCAAACTGTATGATTTCACTGCAAAAAACTAAAATGAAAACTGTACTTCCCTTGGCTTTGTTACAGTGATGAAAACTTATCTATAGCAATTAATTTTTTTTTTAGGACTTCGGTACACTATTCTTCTGAACCCAAAATGAAGCATCAAAAGAAACATACTTGTTGAAGTTAATGAGGTAAAAGAAAGTTGTTTGTGGGGCATGTCCATTCCAATGCACCGTATAGCCCTTCTGAAGCATCACAACAGGCTGGTATTGCTGGAAAGCAGCTCTCTGATTAATACCTCGCAATATCATAGGGTTGTGAGGGTATTCATCACGCACCACACTCATGTTGAGACTCTGAGGATTCCATGTCTGCACATATACCTAAAAATAAAACAAGAGTTAGAAAGAAAAAAAAACACTTTAAAAGATAATGATTACTTCAACTAAAAACAATACAAATGAAAAGGAAGGAGACACAGTCTACACCCTAACATGTCTGAATAATTTGGTGCACATCCAAGTTCAGATAAAAATCCCGTTTACACTGGATTATATGAGGAACTGAAATGACAAATTGAGACAGAGAGCATATAAGCAAAGGCTCAGTTCAGATAAATGGAAAGGAACAGCAAATTTATGGAAAGCACTCACCCCTCTTGCCCACGTCACTTCCTTCTCCATTTCCTGTTTATAATTAACCATGTTTGAATCACTGAACTATGGTTATTGATTGCCTTCCAAATCAAGGAGTTCTGATTCTGGTTTAGAGACTAAATACTAATGATAGTTTGTCAGTTCAGATACCAACACACACTATGGTTAGTGCTAAACAGGAAACAATGCAGAAAGGCAGCACAGAAGCAGCAGAGTAAGAGCACAAACCAGTAGCCCATAAGGCAGTATAAACAGAATCCCTTCCTCACTCACTTTATTACTTATAGCCAGCCTTTCTCACTGTGCAGACTACAGAATATATAGACTACAGAATTATAAACAGACTACAGAATTATAAACAGACTACAGACTTCAGAATTATAAACAGAATCCCTTTCTCACTGTGCAGACTACAGAATATAATGCAAACACCGTAAGAATATCAATGAACAACATAATAAGACTAGTATTGTAGAATTAGAAAATAATCTGAACAAAAACTGTCTTCCAGGATAACTAAAATAGCTCTGGATTTTATGTAAACGGGGAAGACTAAAAAAGGTTAGCAAGTGGAAGAATTTCTGCACAGACTAAGGGCAAATCCAAAACAAAACAAAAAAAAGCAACCCGTCTAAATATTATCTGAAGGCTAGTGTGACGTTCAAAAGGATTTAAGCGCTTCTATTATATTAACTGAAAGATCACACAGACAGCTATTATTTCAACACAAGAACAGTTCATTCCACACCCAATCCTACATTTGTGGAAAACATCTTTCTCCTAAACTCTCTGCTATTATCTCTGAGCCTACTGATTGGACTAAATAAAATAATATATACTCTTTTTAAAAATTTGAGAAAATGGAAGAGAAAACTTTTGCTGTTCATGTTCTAACCACAAAAATTTACAATGACATCTCCTTGAACCTGAGCATAGCTCCCGCTGCAGATAACTCCATTCCACTTGGTCTCATTAATACAGTCTGGGTGTTGAATCAAGTAGTTATCCATTCTGCCAATGTAAGTGTCCTTGTATCCAGTTACTGATCCATCTACATCATGGAATATAGAATTCTTGTCACCATCAAGATCACAATCCTCAAACCAAGGACCGAGTTTTCCAAAAAAGACTTTTAGAGAAACCTTAGAAGACAAGAAGAACATGAGAGACATGAACACATGCAGCTGCCTTATACTGAATCAGATCATTGGTCCATCAAGGTCAGCATTGTTTCCTCAGACGGGCAGCAGTTGTGCAGGGTCTCAGGCAGAGCTCTTTCACATCACCTACTGCTTGGTCCTTTCAACTGCAAATGCCAGGATTGAACCTGGGACCTTCTGCATGCCATGCAGATGCTCTACCACTGAGCCACAGCCCTAAAGCAAATTCAGTAGCAGTAATTTTTTTTTGTTAAATTTGGTAATGGAGATGCATTTGTTTGGGAAGCAGTTGTTTGGGAAGCATGGAATGATATGCACCAAATCCGTTATTAGATCTGTGGAGAAATACATTGTAATGTGGAGGTCTGGGCTGTACAAAACCTTCACTTTTAATTTTCAAAAGTTCTTCTCTCTCTTGGCACAAAACAGGCAGGAAGGGGGAAGTTGACTGATCTCCAACCTCACCTAGTAATGCTTGTGAAATGCCAATAGCTTCCCTAGCTGAAAACAATTAAATAGTCATCTCACACCTCCAACTAGAAGCTGACACCAAGAAGGGGACAGAGTCTTGGGAGATGGAAGAGGCTAGAGTGTATCTTCCTGGAGATTTCAGGAAAGGCCTCTTTGCCCACAGGGTGGGGAAAGAGAGATAGTGAATCCCTTGGCACGAAGAGGGAAGGGTTCTCTTTGGCTAATTCCATCTAGGGAGAAGGAACTCTCACACCAAAGCTCCATCTGAAGGCCACCATTCCCATGCAGGAAGGACTCACATTGACTGCCTGAACAAGGACACCATGGTAACAGGGAGCTTTTATAGCACTATAACTTCCAAGTTAAAGAACCTGCCTTAGAATAAGATCAGCTAGAGCATGCACAGAGTAAGAAAGAGGAATTACGTGCTTACAACTTTCTTTTGGATTTCTTGCTCTCTGTTGCTGTGCTGAGAGTTCATGTGTGGACATTTTATTTTTAATAAATGCTTTATCATTGTGAATGCTGGTAGTTGTTCTCTGTACCACACAGACCTCCACCATTCGAGCATACTATTTAGAATGGATGCCAGGAGAAAGGGGACAGGTGGCAAATCACTATTACCCAGTGGTGCATAAATACAGTAAACAGATCCCACAGTAACCAGTTGCTGGACAGTTGGAGACACGGGCATGAGGTGGGATCTTACAACGGCAATGCAGTAGAACAAATTTAGAGTCCAGTGGCACCTTTGAGACCAACAAAGGTTTATTCAAGGTATGAGCTCTCATGTGTAAGGCACACTTTTTCAAATGCAGAGAAGAGCAGCTAGTCTCTCAGTGGGTAACAGCCTGTTGGTGGCTGCAGTACCAATAGAGGTGGAGAGCAGTACCAAAAATGGGGGACGGGAGGGAAAGTCGAGAGAGTGGTGTGTTGCCAAGCAGAGACCTGGGAAGCCACTGGTGCCTAGGCGTCTCAGAGGTCTGGATGGAGCAGTGCCCACAGGGTCTGTGGGACTATTCTGCCACAATATCTTATTCAATCATTTAGCTTCAACAGCATCTAAAGCAAAAAATGTCCTGGAAACTATGGGAAACAAAGGCATGAGGCGGTGCCTTACAATGACAATGCATGGAAGGGTAGCTGGTCCTCTCAGTGGGTAATTCCTACAAAGGCCAGGTGGTGGCAGCAGTACCAAAAAAGCCAGAGAGTACCACTCTGAGGGTTGGGAGAGCTGGAAGAAGACAATGGTACAGGATAGCACACATATACAAATGAAGTCTGAGAGATAAAATTAACCCACCATTACCTCCAAATAGTAATCCCACCCCTATTTTAGTACTTCAACCATAAAACTTACATTTTTACCAAACTTCACTAAGGAAATATTGTTTTTGGGTGTCATTTGCCAGGTGTTTTTCAACAGAAATCCAATGGCACTGGTGAATCTATCTGAAGTTGGCACAAAATTGTTAAATGTGCATCTAGTGAGATGAATAGGTCCATCATAAATCTGAAAGCCTCTGATAGGGAATGTCCTGTTAAAGCATATATATATTTAACAAATACCTTTTTAACCATACACACATTAGCAAGTACAGATCTTTGTAACAGAAGTGGCAATCCTATGCAGTTACCAAATAACAAGTTTGATGTTATCTAAGTGAGGCTTACTTTTGAATAAGCATGACTAAAATTTGGCTGTAAAGGTTCAATATTCATCAATTAAGGTCAGTGAGATACCCTTTTAAATTATGACCAGCTTTGCTTTAAGAAGAGTGCTTACACAGTGTACTGGCAAAGACAAACTTCTAAACAGTATTTATTCTGACCATATTCACATCCTATTTAATGAACTTTCTATTTCTGTTTTACCCCAAGGGCCCAGAGCCCATTCCAGCACGTTAAAACTAGCTGCACAAAATTTAATTTTTGAAGTGAATGTACATGTCAGCCAAGGAACCACAATCAAATTTATAAATTAACTCAATACTTAATTCCAGTTTTACTTCAAAAGCCCTTTATTTAAGGGCACATGCACACATCAGTATCTACTGTAGCTCATTAAATGAGAGTAGGAAGAATACAACTATGAGAAAACACCACAAAGTAGTGGCCAAACTGTGTGCAATTATCCCTCTTTTACACTGTGCTTTCCACTCTAATTCTGCTCGTCCTTATTCCACTCTAAAGACTAACACAAATTGCCCTACAACTTGTCACAGTGCTGAATTATTGGAAATTGGAAAGGGTAAAAGACTTATTTTGCAATATACTTTGCAACAATGGCCTGATGATCTGCACAGAAACATTATGAGCAGAGCAAAGCAAAGCAAATCACAGAAGTGCTGAATAAGCTTATGTTTATGCATCATATTTACTGCATTTAAAAAATGAAAAGAAGAATTATATTTCTGGAAGGGCCACTGTTCTCTTACCGATTTCTAGGCAGAGTGCGATTTTTACTGTCAATTCCTCCAGTCCCCCAGTATTTGTTCTGGCCACCTAAAAAGCCATAATTTTTGCTTTCACCAACAAACAGAGAGTTTGTAATCTCCTGGCTGGAACCTTCATCTTTTGGGAAGCTTCCATCACTATCAAAAATAAATTCAGGAGTCAGTAACAAGATATTTGTTATGACAAGAGGCGGCATTATCTCTTCAGCACCAAAACAAAAGTAATTGGGCCTCTTTCTGGAAATCCTAAATTTCCAAAATCACAGCCTGGGAAACTCCTACAAGATAATGACTCAGCCCTACCCCACCTTCCTGAGTAGATATAAATTAGTTGCCTACCATTTTTCTTCTCACATTGACACAGAGAGTACTCCATCTTTCTGTGTTATACCCCTGAGAATGCCAGTCATAGCTGCTGGTGAAATGTCAGGTATTACAATGCCAAAACCATGGCCATACAGCCCAGAAAATCTACAACTAATAAACTCTGGCCATGAAAACCTTCGACAACAAATCCTAAATATATATATGTATTTTAATGGTAAATCAATACTTGGATCATAGGAAGCCTGTGAATGAGTTGGCTTGGATATTATTTGGAGCCAGTGGCTCAAGAAATCCTTCCATGGCTTTTACTGTTTTCTTTCAGTTCATTACAACTGCACAAACAAAATGTACAATCACATTCCAAAATAAGGAAGACTGGTAAGAAAGCGCAGAAATTAAGCAAAATAACACTAACCTGGCAAAGGTCAGGCCTATTCCATTGTCAGCAAATCTAGAAGGAAAAAAAACATTGTTTCAGAAATCAAGCACTTTGATCTAAACCGAAGAAGAAGAAGAGGAGGAGATTGGATTTACACCCTGCCCTTCACTACCCAAGGACGTCTCAGAGCGGCTTACAAACTCCTTTCCCTTCCCCTCCCCACAATAGCCACCCTGTGAGGTAGGTGGGGCTGAGAGAGCTCTGACAGAAACTGCTCTTTTTCAATAACAGCTGTGCCAGAACTATGGCTTGCCCAAGGTAATCCAGCAGGTGCAAGTGGGGAATCAAACCTGGAACTCCCAGATTAGATTCCACGCACTTAACCACTACACCAAACTGACTCTCTAACAATACAATATGAAGCAAATAAGTTCATCATGCCAGTGATTGTACTAACATACACTGTGACGTTATGCAGACATTAGACAGGACAGCACAAATGGTTATGGTCAGTGAAAATTACTATACTAAAATATTTCTTTAAAAGATTTGTTTTGTAAAAGGAGAGATAGAATAATGCTTTCTTTTAAAAATGGAATGGAAATCAACAGCCTCATCTTACACATATTTATGCAGAAGCAAGCCATACTACAATCAATTTGACCATTTTCCAGTTGGAAACATGCATAAGAATACAGCCTAAATCTCTGAGCAAAGATGTAAACCACAGTGCATGAAAACTAAAAGCTGTATGAAACCTTTTTAGAAGTCTAGAAATGTTTTGCTATTGCATAGTTCTTAGAAACTGCTGTGATGCAACATCAGGAAAAACATATTGTTTAACTTTTAAGTAACTTTTTTCATGTCCATCCTTGGCTTTGCACCAAATTGTTATGAAATTTCCATCTTGGCCTACAAACACACAGCCTCATTCAAAGCAAAGGCAATAATCCTTAATAGGTAAACTTTGATATTTGTTAGCTTTATATTCTCAGGCATTAACAGTAAGACGTTTTACTGGCATAGTTAGCTCTTGCAGTGCTGTTCAAGAGAACTATTTACTTCTAGCACCACACAGATAGTTGATCTTAGGCACTTGCCCAGAGTTCTGGATGATGATGTCCCCTCCTCTGACCCAAGCTCCATGGTCATTGTTTTTGTAAGCTATTAGCCCATCTATCACAGCAGCAACACGGGGCTTCTCAGGATCTGCATCTTGATGGGGCCGGAACCTGGTAGAAGGAAAAGACATCAGAAATGGCTCTGCAAATACTTGCAAATATTTTTATGGCATCCAAAACCACAGTTCAGCAAACAGACAAGATTAGTTTTGCACTGAAACAGAAGCAAAATGTTTCTATCAAGAAGAGGTTGTTTACTTCAAGTCTGGCCTAAAGTGATACCTAATTTCCACTATACAAATGACTCTTTGGAAGCTTCAAACTCTACAAGCAACAATGTGCTGAAGGCAGGCAACTCCAAGGGTTTAACCTAGTAGTGCTTTTTGAAAGACTGTAACGATCACTTGCCACTTTTGGAGCTTTTCCATTTCTTAAGAAGACAAGAGAAAATGGAAGATACGGAAGAGATGGATAAAAGTATCAAATTATCTCTGAGCACACTGATGGTTTAAGTGCTTCTGAACAGAGTACACAGGTAAAGTGTGTATATTCTGAGTCCCCAGTACTGACTGTAATTGGGATAATAAGCAATTATCACTATACAACAATAGTTTCACTTAAAAGTAGCTGTGACTGAACCCAGCAACTCAACAGACAGGAACACAAACAGTTTACTGACCCAGGTTATTAACAAAATTGAAACAGTTAATTTTTTACCTTGCACTGGAGAGAGATCTTCCTAAAACTGGATTAAGAGATCAATCATACAATGAACGCAAGTATCAATAAATAACAGTGTCCTGTATTTAATACACTAATTTTTATTCAGGGAATATATTCTACCTTGCATTGTTGTCCAAACAGAGATACTCCCTTGGGTCTTCAGCACTCGCGTTGGTGGTTTTGACACCTTTATCAATTAATAAACCAGCCTACAATACATGGAATGATAAATTAGGCCTATTCACCTCCAGCTATAATTTATTTCCTTTTTACTCCCTGCTTTTCTCCCCAATGAAGACCTAAAGCAGCTTACATCTTTCTCTACTCCTCCATTTTATCCACACAACAACCCTGTGAGGTACATTAGTCTGAGAGTGTCTGAGAGTGTGTGACTGGTTCAAGGTCACCCAGCAAGCTTCCATGGCCAAGTGGGGATCTGAACCTGGATCTCCCAGATCCTAGTCTGACAATCTAACTACTACATCACGGTGGCTCTCAATTATGCTGTAGGAAACTAATCTGACCAATCACTGTGATACAATATTACACATAATACCTTACAGCTCTTAAGTACTCTCCTCTAATATGAAATAGAAGGCATAGGATTATATTCTTGAACAGAGCTTGGAGTTTATCCAGACTTAAAGAAACCAGGATATTGCAACATTACATAAAAGTAAACATTTCAGAATGCCCTGTCTTCAAGAGATCAAAGTCAGATGCAGTGATATTCTCTTTTTGAACTGGGTACAAAACTAGCTTTCAAATTTCTATATTAGGTCATCACTGAACAAAGAGACTATTTGACAATTCTTTAAATAGATTTTGAGGGCTTAGTTCTCTTTGGGACATTACATCATTATTAATGAGACAGCTTCTATTCAGTCAACTAACAGGAGACTTTTTAGTTTAGAAACAAGCACCAAAAAGTGCCACAAACATTATTATTGTTCAATTTAGTATTAAGTCTGTCTCATGGTAAATTCCACAGAAAAATCCAGGATCGGTTAAAAGCACATTACAGAAATTTAAACTCCTCTTTCCAAGGATGTTTAAGAGGTTTAGTATATCATTAGACATACAAAACGTGATTGTGTTTTAAGGAAATCATTAGAACTCCTGTTCTGGCACACAATCAAAAAATACTGATGTTCTTGGGTCTTCCCAGTGAATTTAAGATTATATGAGGATGAAGAGAGTTAAGGAGGAACTGGCACAGGTGAGAAGCTCTGGAAATTCTATATTTGAATGAAAGAAAAGATGTGTTTCATGCCTTTATTCGACAATGCAGTGGTGACAAGCCAAAAAGAGGAAATGATATACTCAAGTGTTAAATGAATCAAAGTGACTTTTCATAATCTTCAGTAGGTAAAGAGGGAATTAGCTGAAAGGAAAAGGCAGCAAAAGAAAATAGGAGGGTAGATGTTGTGAAGTGTCTGGCTTTACCCCAGGTGTTAAAGTGCAGGTTTGCAGAGTTTCATTTCTTTATATGCAGAGGCAATTGTAGGAGACTATTAGTAAGCATGAAGGAGGAGTGCTCATCAGAAAAGATCCACACACAGATTTCTTTTCTGCAAATGTCCCACAAGCTATTTTCTCTTAGCCAGGTTTCAGGCTTTGGAGCATAGCTGAGGGGGAAATGTAGGGAGGGGGCATCTGGAGAAGAGAGATTTGTTGGTGGGGGAAGGGTTGAATCATCTTACCTCTAGCTGATTCTTTCCTGGAAAATTTCCCTGCCTCCATGTTTGTCATAAGGGGAAAAAATACAGGTCTGGGAACCTTGCATTTTCTTCCTAATATGTGGACGTATCCACAACTACTACCTATCAGATAAAGAAGGAGGCTTATCAAGATTCCATGCCTCTTTTAATATAATATTCTGCGTTTCAATTAGAAGATGGATCTCCAACTGGTGGGATAATTTCCTTGCATAAAGCACTGTCTGATGAATTGTATAGTGGTGCCTCAAAGACTTCAGCATTAAAGCAGTCCTCTGTATTGCCTGAATTTTCCCCCCAGAAAATCTGTGCAGTTTCAGAAACATCTTATGACAAACGCTGAACTCTTGGGGGGAGTGGTGAGAGAAGACCTAACACACATTACCAAGTTATGCACAGATGACTAAAGTAACTTTCTGGTCCATATGAAGGTTACTGCAGATCAATAGCAATATTAAGTGTTTCATTTGACTATGGAATCATTAAAAGGTTTTTAAAAGATGCCTGCTTATCACTGTGTTTTGTAACTGCACACACCTATGTACAGAAATAGATTCATGGTCTGTTCATGGTGTTTTGCATAGCGCTTGAGTATAGAATGTAGTTATTTCCCAGGATAGCTCAGTAACTGCAATATGAATGTAGGTATTTGGACCTTACACTGTCAGCTAGACAAATACGGGAGGAAAAAAACTGCTTCCCATACTAATTAAACATATTGTCCGCAACATACATATATGTTCACATATGAAGATGGAGACTGATAATGATGTGCATCTAACTACATGAAAAATAAGTTGCCCAGTCCTCAGAAATGTTTAACACTTAGCACGTAACAGCTTGTGCCTGGCTTAAATTAGGATTTACACTGGGCAAGTAGCTAACTACAATATTTATATTTAAATTATACACCATACATAACTCTGCAGTCCACCAGATTGATTGCTTACCTTAAAATTGGAATGAACCTTGTTGTTATAGAAAATTCCTAGTGGTGTGAGTTCAGCTTTGGTTTCAGGAAACAATCCATGAGATTCTCCTGTGGGCACCTTGTGAAATAAATACCATATTCCAGCATCCTTAAAGTAAGAAGGAACAAATAAGGATAGTCACATATCATTTTAGAAGTCAACACAGTAATGCTATCATCAACATATCACTGACACTCTTTGTAAGCTTAACTTTCTATTGTTCTGTCCTCATTAGCCAAGGAAAACTTAATAATTTTCGAGTTACTATAGAAGTATTAATATGTACCCCCATTTTTAAAAAGAAAATATTAAGTTTAAAAACTGATTTCCCTTTCTGGTCCAAGACAGAAAGAAACTGACCCAGAGGAGAAACCTTCTAGTCTAAACTAGGGCTGGACTTTTTTTTTTTAAAGTAGGATCTGTCCCTCCATCCAGTGGGTGGGCATATCATTGGCAAGTAAAAAAGAGCAAAGATTCAGTTATTTATGTTTTCATTTAGCTTCCTGGTCCTGAAAAGCCTTTAACACATTTATTGCTCTGTTTCAAATCTTCCTTGGATTGTTTATATATTCTTATATGTCAAAAAACGAGCCAGTTCCAAGTATCTCAAGTGTCAAAATGTTTGCCCAGAATACACTGCATATTTAAACAGTTCCAAACGGCATATTGCTTTTCGCAATGTCATCACATTGCTCTTGCCTAGCTTGCAAACTCCCTGGTTTTCAAATTCTCCAGGCTCCTGCATAGATTTTTACATCCGCCTTTATAAACAACAAAATTAAACTGAACAAGCTAATACTCCTGTCCATTAAGACTATTATTACATGAGTCCATTGAGGATATGAAAAAGTAGTAATAATTTAAGTCTACACATGTCCTCAGATTTAAGTATACAGTCTGTTTTTCACTGAAATTCCACAGCAAGAATAACTGCACTGGTGTTCTAGTTTTATGCTAACTCATTTTTATACTAGCTTATTTTTTCCTGTTTTAAAAGTGTGTTCATAGTCACATCCATATTTTTTTTATTTATTGGGCCTTTCAGTTCTAAGGCAAAAACATTCTCTAGAAAAAGTGACATGCTTTGTATTTTCCATTACATTACCTACCAAATTACAGTTTCATTAAGATATACTTCAGAATGCTAAAGATGACATTCACAGTGCAATTCCATATAGCATAAGCCCATTGCGCAAATCTAGGGCAAAAGCTTTTCATCAGAGATGCCACAATACTAGGTGGAACAGAGAAATGAAGATATCTCCATTTAAAGCGTGATCTTCACACAGTAGAAGATACGCTTTTATTTTGGAAAATATCTAGTCAGTCACAACGCCCAGAAATCTCACCTGCGAGCCTGCAGCTACATTATTTATAAGGTGATTGTTGGGATGAGCAATCCAAAAGGTTGAAACAGCCCTGTAACATATTAGTGAAATACAGAGAATATCATGAATGGACCATCTTACAGAAAGCTCCAGATCAAGTAATATGTTTTTTACATGCAACATTCTTTGCCTTTTCAAAGCTCTCCATGCCTTGAGTTTCAGTGCCTAAAACAGTGCATCTCTCAGCATTTCAATTTCTGGCAACAAACCAGGATACTCTCAATCTGTCTTTCATAAAGAAACTTGCTTTCCTATACTGAGGATTAAAGACAAGAAGTTAAATTATACACAGTTTGAATTTTCTTTGGAAGATGGGATGTGTTCAAGTTGATCCATGAGGATGAAAAACCTTCTTGTCACATTAATGGTATCCGTTAAAAATAAGGTTCAGAATGCTAAACATTCTACTCCAAAGGACAGGATTGTTATATGTGTTCTACTTCTGAAGAGCCATACTGGAGCACCAGGTAAGCACAAAATTTAATCTTATTAAGATGCCTTTTGGGCCAAGATGTTTTTAAGGTCATGCAATGAGTTTAATGGAACAGCAGAGAAAGTTCTTAATCTGGTTTTTCTATGACCAACCAAAAATACCAGCCACTGTACCACAGTACCTCCTTAAAATCTTCAACATTTAAGTCCTTAGTGGGTAGCTTGACATTCAAAAGGAATTCCTCTGAACAGTGGGGCAAGACAATATGCACAACACTTGTAACTTTTTGTCCCTCATATAGACAGCTACTCACATGCAGTCTGTGGCCGGCACTGGCAAGTATTTTCCATACACTCGATCCCTGATAGCCAGGCACATTGTGCTATTCCTGTCTGTGGGAAGCAGCGTGCCTGGTTTGGTGACCAGCCCTAGATTATGAAACAGTGTGTTCCTCTGTTCAATGCCGTCCTCCATGAAAAAACAATGGCCTAGTGTATCATAGCCAATGGTGTCTTTTATCTGCAGAAACAACAGTTCGGGATGTTATTCCCAGCTGCCTTTATAGACTTGAAAAAATGTATTACTTTTTATTGTCTTGATTTAACTATTTGTGAGTGTCAGCAATGATGGAGCTAAACTGAATGACACCCCCACTTCCCACAAATAATCGCTGTGCAACTGCAGAACATGAGCTGAAACTTCAAATTCCTGCAATCTAAGTTAAAAGAATAGTGAGTATATCTTGTCATCACTATTTCTCCAGGCATATCTGCAAACACACAGAGAGAATCCTGACCCTCAAACGTCAATCACAATGCCAAGGTACTTAAAACATCTAAGTAAATACCATTGAAAAGCCTGAAGCCCACTATGGGTACCATGTTGTCCTTGGTTATCCTGCAGCAAAGCTGCGACTGGGGAGTCAAACTGTGTTAGTTTCACTTTGCACAGTTAGTCATCTAACCCAATATCCATGTTTTGAGTTGATTTAACTATGTTTTTAATTGAGCTAACTTTTAATTAACAGAATTAATAATTGCCCAAACAACCTAGCATCACTATAAAATGTCTAATGTCAGACATAAAATGCCAGCTCAAATACACAAATTTATCATGATTCTTGAAGGGACTAAGCTTTGGGAAAATGAAGATCAGACTGCTGTTATCATTAGAAGCAGCCTTGAGAATGCTTAAGTCCTAAAGTTAGACATGGCAGTAATTCTTCACAGTGACCAATATCAAAAGTGACATACGGATCAGAATTAGATCAGTCAGCAGAAGGGTGTCCCCTTTGACCACCCAAAATCAGATCGGGGTCCCGGAAGGATAGGAACTGTAGTAAGAAGGGCAAATGGATAAGATAGAGTGGAGGAGATGGCTAGATCCAAACCCAGGTCCATTCCCCCAACCCACATCTAAAGACTTATGCAGGTATAATGTCACTTGATTCCCTAACCATGCCTTGAAAATTCAGAACAGATAATTTATGTGATCTGAAGAGAAACAGAGTATGAGATAGTTTATCCTGATCCCCACTGCAGCCTCACAGGCTTGTTTCAGAGTGGACATAGCCCAGACGCTGCTCCCATTGCCTTATAGTTGGAACCAACAGTTATACTTGGCACAGTTTCATTAATTACATTTAAAAGTAAAGAATAATATATTTGCTCTTCACAACTCTCTTTACAAGACATCATTTATTTACCGCTCTTACCAACAAGCCATTTGTTGCATGAATGGCCACACATCTGGAGAATGAGTGATGAATTGAGAGACCATCTAGATAAGTCTTATAGCTGTACCCTCCTTTCTCATCTACATCTCCACAGAGGTGAAAGTGAACAGAGTAAGATCCTTGCACTTGTTGACCCATTTCTTTGAGTTCCACGTAGGAAAGATGTACAGATGTGAAATTCTTCACAATCTGAAAGAGAATTATCCAACTATTATTCAACTATTACTTTTTAAAAAAGCAACAACTTGTTCAGTCACACTCTTCTGGCATCCATTTCATCCTGGGGCAAACATAATATTAAAGATCATGCAAACATAACCATAGTCATATGGCCATTGACCGGGTACATTCTTAGCATGAAAAAACCGAGAAGTTTAGTTACTAGCACTTCCTGCTCTAAGGTTAACAATGCTCGGAACCTATTGACTAACCTGAATGAACTAACACAGGGCTAGATGGCTGCCCCCTGGTCACACACAATGCTACTCTGTTTTCACATAACCTTTACAAACTGCAAAACCCTTCTCCAGCCAAGAACAGCCTGAAAATAAAATCTCTAAATATGCAAGCTTTCATCATCTTAAAGAAGCCCAACGGAATGTTACATAGTTGTGTTTACTGTCCCATGTTTCTCAGGATCCTTCCTTAATTGTGACTTTTTAAAATATGCCTTTTAAACAGTTAATTTAAGCTTTTGAGAAATACTGTAGGCGAGACAAACTATTAGCTGGCAAATCCAAGGCTCTCCCAAATAAACATTAATCTTATGGGACAATTTCAGTCTGATGCTGAACTGACAGGAAGCAAATGAATCCCCCCCAACCCCATACCTTGATATGTCCACCAAAAGTATCATAATTGAAGAACTGGCAGTCCTTGCTAGTGTAGCAGGAATCTTCTGTTTCTCCCTTAACTAAGATGTTCCTGGTGAGAACTCCAACCTCTGCTCTCATGTCTACTCCATCAATAATTTCTCCTGTATGATGGAACTGAGGAGTTTCTGTTTCACAAAGGAGTTGTTTATGGAGAAAGCAAGTGAGAGAAAGAAAATACTGGTTGCTTATCTAGTAATGAATATGTATAACCTGCTAAGCCTAACTGACAATGCTCTATTGACAGAATTTGTCCCTGCTTGGAGGAAAGTTCAGGAGATGGGACTTATAGTTTTCTCCCTACTCCCCTCCAGGTTTTTTTTAAATTGGAACAATTGGAAATTCCTGGGAGCCCTGCAAAAAAGATCCAATGAACTATTTTCTCTTTTAGAATGAGTAAAATGTTTTTATGACAAGGTTTTACTCATTTAACATGTTTAATATAAAGATCTTCATGTAAAACAAACTACTAGATAATTACACCTTTTGTGGACACTGTAGACACAAACATTTAAACAATAAAAATACCTTGAAAATATGCTTTGTTGAATGTGGTCCAAAATTAATCTGCTATTGTAATACACATAATTGAAGGACTCCATTTTTTCAATGTTAGAAAGTTCAGCTTGACACCCAAACATGCTGCTAGTCCTATTGTGAGTGTATGGAACTGTTTACGCGCAAATACATACACTGCCTTTTGATTATTACAAAATTTGAGTTTTCTACACCATATAACTCTACTAAATGGACAATTTACTTTTCTTCTGGCACTGGACCTTGGTAGTAATCACCATAATACTTGCAATATAACACTTAACAGGAACCCCCTTCTGAAAATGTGATGGGAGATTATGTATTGGCCAAACAGTTGAGGGGAAGGAGAGGGAATGTTAGTGAAAGCCAAAGATGTGGAGTGAAAGCAGGGTGGGCGGGGGGGGGGGGGGGGGGGGAATTCTTCTAACTGAAATTCTTCCAACAGTACCTGCTGAGTGCAGTTCCCTCTAAGTTGCGTTAGGGGGTGCTGGCACACAATATTTAAGAGTACTGCTTGGAGCATTTTAGCTTCAACTTCAACTCACAACATTTTTTCCCTTCCATAGGAAACAATGAAGGATGGGAGCACCTCCTTCTGGGGCCCATAGAATTGGACTCCCAATCCAATCTTTTTGAAACTTGGTGGGGTGTGGGTGTTTGTTTTTTTGAGGAGAGGCACCGGCAGCTATGCTGAAAATTTGGTGCCTGTACCTCAAAAAACAGCCTCCCCCAGAGCCCCAGATACCCCCTGATCAATTCACCATTATAGACTATGGGGCTCATTGACTATAATGGTCCCCATAGGCTATAACTGAGCCAGAATCACTGATTTTTCTTCCACACCCCTATTATGCTTTTTAGTATGATAAGTGGGATATAAATATTTGAATAAATAAGTAATTTGGGCAGATTGATAACTTTTAAGCAACTTCCTGTTCGTTAGGTTAGGCAGGGTTCTGACAGTGATTGTTCCACCTCTGTTATACTTGACCTATAATGCTGGTTGTCATATTTCACTAAAAAAAACAAAATAGACTGCAAGAGTTTTTTCTCCCATAAGTGCTAGTATGTTTTCTAAGGGTCAGCGCAAGGCGACAGTCCAAGCCCAGGTCTACCAATATAGTGGAAAGGTATGGGTAGACCTGTTCTCTGGAGGCCAGGTCTACCAATATAGTGGAAATGGGCAGGGAGATCTGTTCTCCAAAGGCCTGGTCTACCTCTAGAGGACAATATTTTGTGTAATGAAATTTGACTTGATTCTGTTTTCTCTCATAATGTTTACATTATTCTTAAAATATAGTTTTAATATAGTTTAAAAGGATTCATTCTGCAATTTTTACAAAGTTATGGAAATAATCTTCTAAAAATAAATTGTGCAAGTCAAATGTAGACTTGCTCACAACTTTAACATTACTAGCTTTTTTCGCTCACAAGGCAGAATTTTTGCTCACAACTCCGTGGAACTTAGAGGGAACACTGCTGCTGAGTACCTTATGGTATTTGGATAAAGTACATTAAGGATTTCGAACATGGCCTGATCTTACTAGGTACTTATTAGGATTGGTGCAAATCTTCAGTTGAAAACTTGAATAAAGATGTCTCTGTTGGGTTTGCTGAAAGTTGTTATTTATACCAAGGCCTAAAAGAATGTTACATACTGTGAACTACAAATGCGTGAATATATAAAAACTGAATAATACTAAAACAAATCCAAATAACAAAGAAATTACTTGTGGGAGCAGTCTCAGGAATTAGAATCTTAATAATAGAAATGGTCATGAATGCCTACCCATGGGCAATCCTCAAGAATAAATAACCCATCTGAACGGGGTATTGTAGGGTTGCCAGCCCCCCCCCCCCCGGCCACCAGAGAGGGATGGAGGTAGGTTTGCCAGATCTAGGTTGGGGAACTCCCAGAGATTTGGGGGGGGGGAGAGAGGGAGCTCAGTGGGGTACAGGGCTATAGAGTTGACCCTCCAAAGCATCTATTTTCTCCAGATCTCTTTAGTCAGGAGACAAGCTGCTATTCCGGGGTATCTCCAGGTCTTACCTGGAGACTGGCATCCTTAGGGTCCTGACACGACATTCAAAATATACTCATCCAGACCCCATCTAATTATAAGTCTCTGTAAATTATACACCAAATGCTGAGGTAGGATGCTGGCACTCTAATTTCTTTTTAAAGGTTTCAAAAATAAAGCAATACTCAAGCAGTATGCAAACTATATAAGGTAAGAGGAGGCTACTCCTGATATTAAAAGCTAAGCTGATTTTCTTAAACCCAAGCCCAGCAAGACTGTAAATAGCCAAGAGAAGAAAGTAGAAAGTGATGAGGATCTTGACACATTTTTGGAACATTGAAGGAAACTGGATATTAAATGAATAGAAGGCCGAAGAACTCCTTCCATATGGGAATAATTTACTTGCTTTCCCTTGCTCGTGTGAGAAAGTTGGCACAAGTTTTCTGCAGATGCTGAAGTCTGAGGACCAAAAGAAGCACGGAAAAAAATTACCATAAGATGAAGAGATTTGTATTTGAAGCGGAAGGGGCAGTACTTTACAGAGCAAAAATCACCCGAGAGAATACTCACGATTAAAATAAAATTAAATACAAGGTCTGTAAGAGGAAACAAAATTTCTAAGCAGTGCTTGGAGAATGAAGCTGTGCACTCTTTTGCACACACGACTGAACACAACACTCTTTGAACATACTTATTGTACGTCTGATCTGTTCTCACACTACTGTTACATCAATGACTTCAACTATTTCTTCCACCATTTTCCTAGTCAATTCCAGAAACCTGAATTCTCAGTCACCTTCAAAACAGTCCTTAATCATATTTCCACATTTTAATTCTATCCTGGTAATCAGTTGACTTTTCCTAGACAGATCTGAAAAAGGCTGCTCAGGGAAGCAGTGAGCTGTTATCCATATCTCTTTATTTATTTCTCCTAATACATTTGTGTACAGGATTAAGCCCCTCACGCCAGTCCAGGGATGAGAGGTAATCCTGTACTTTTACAGTACATTAAACAACAACCAACGAGATGGTCTAAACCCTCTCTGGTTTCAGAAAATATGCCAACAGAACCTCTACATTAGTTCCCCCCCAACCTGAGATTAGAGGTTCAAACTCTCAGTTGGTATCTGGAATTTAACACATTAGCAACTCACTCAGACTTGCACACTTTACGCTTAATGGTAGCTTGTGGTCAGCTTAGGCACAGGAGTTTAGACTTGGAACTCAAGTACAACATCAGAGACCATTTAGAAACAAGAATAATTTTTTATTCAGTACAGAGCTTAACACAGACTGCCAGAGTTTACCAAAATAACAAGCCTAAGGCGATTTGCCTTAACCACACAGTAAAAGATACATATTTACCAAGTTCAGGAATATCCAACAGTCCAAGGGATTTTGAAAGCAAAATCCATCTTTGCTCAACCATGTGGTCCAATTCACAAAGCCAATCCTTTGTCCCTCAAGGGCTGCATTTCAGGTGCAATAAAACAAGTAGAGACAGCAGGAGCAGAGAGCAAGCACACGGCTAAGAGACTCTCTCTCATTGGGATTGAACAATTATAGCCCAATTGTTGGTTGTCATGGCTACGTGTGGGGATAGGCTAGAAGTCTGGGAACTCCTCCTGCAGTCAGGTGACCCAACTTCCAGCTTCTCCATCGCCTACGTGACTTTTTGCATGTCAGGTCAGCTCTTCCACTTAGAGGTGTGAAAGAATGTGTGGTTATATGGCATGGCTATTGAGTTTCTCTGGCTAAATGGACAGGCCATTTGGCTTCAATAGGAAACAAGACACAGCATGTTATCAGAATGACATCACAGGAGAAGGCATGGACTTTTAGAAATCAATATTCTAAACAATTTGGAGACTACAGGGAAAAGCTGTGTATGATTTGTATGAAAATTAGAGGAATTCTGTGGTAATGGTTGCACAGCAGGGTTATAAATGAAATAGGATGGCAGAACACCTCTCTTACAAGATTTGTTTTTGTATTTGTGTGTGTATGTGCTTGTGAGCCTGTCATGGTGACTTCTGGTGACCCCTAGCGGGGTGAGGACATTTCAGAGATGTGGCTTATTACCTGCCTCTGCACGCCAACCCTGATATTCCTTGGAGGTCGCCCTTCCAAGTACTTGCCAAGGTCGGCCCTGCTTAGCTTCCAAGATCTGGCTTGCCTGGGCCATCCAGGTCAGGCCCCCTTTCTTAGAAGATTGGGGGAGGATTTTTTATGTATGTGTGCGCGCACGCCTGTGCCTGGAAGTCATGGCAACCTCTGGAGACTCCTACTGGGGCATGGAGGATGTCCAGAGAAGTGACTTTATAGCCTGCCTCTGGGCCTCCCAGCTGTGGTATTCTCTGGAGGTCTCCCATCCAAATACTTGTCGGGGTTGGCCCTGCTTAGCCTCCAATAGATCTGATGAAATTGGGCTTGCCTGGGCTATCCAGGTCAGGGCGTCTTACAAGAGTTTGAAGTATTCAAGTGATACATATTTGACTACTTCTGAGCTTTACATGAACACAAGAGCTATTTGTTCACATAAAAGATCTTGTTAAATTCTGTGCTACCTA